TTATCCACTTTGTAACCTAAGTAATTTACGCTAGATTTCATAAATACACATTTAGATAATTTAAGTCTAACTCCATGTTTCTGCAAACGCTGAAGAACTAGATCGACACGTTTAAAATGTTCAGCCCTTGTAGGAGCACTGATGAGAATATCATCAAGTCGGCACATAACTCCTTCGATTCCCTGCAGGATTTGTTCTAGAACTGACTGGAAAATGGCTGGCGCAGACGATACACCAAATGCCAGGCGATGACATTTAAATAGACCTTTATGTGTGTTTATGGTAAGTAACTCTTCAGATTGTGGATCAATCTCTAATTGTTGATAAGCACTCGACAAGTCTAATTTTGTAAACAGAGCTCCTCCAGCTAAGGTTGCAAAGATATCCTCAGCGTTCGGAAGTGGATACTGTTGCACCTCTATACACTTATTCACCATAACTTTATAATCGCCACAGATCCGAATTGAGTTATCAGACTTAGGTACTATAATATAGGTGTCGCCCATTTTGAGTATGCCACTTTTGAAATCACACCGTTGCTTTCAAGGCGATCTAACTCTTTTTCTACAAGACCAGTTAGAGCATAAGGAACAGTTCTGTGTTTAAAAAACAAAGGTTTGGCATCCTTCTAAGTAAAATGTTAGCCTTAAAACCCTTAATAGTTCCTACACCATCTCTAAAAACTGTTGGATACTTTTTAACATACTGCTGTACCTCTGGGTCATTCTTGATTGCCTCTACACGAAAAACATTAGACCAATCTAATTTAACTTTTTCCAGCCAATTCCTACCTAAAAGTATAGGGTCATCTCCCTTCACTACAATAATTGGTAAAGTTTCCTGCTGGTTGTTGTATTTAACTATGGCATCAAACTGTCCAAGTACAGGCAGTTCTTCTCCAGAATAAGTTTTCCTTCGAACTTCAGACTTGTGTAGTGAAATGTTACCAAATTTCTCGGAAACAACACTCTTTGGAAATACAGTGTCCACTTCCAATATGGTTGGAACAGCATTAACAGACATTTCAACGAGGTAGGGCGATTTATCACCATTGGCGTGGTAGACTGAATATAAACCAAACCTATCGTCTTCATCTTCAGTTAAATAATGAGTATCATAACCCTTATTTCTCTTGGTTGGGCACATTTTGGCTATGTGGCCCCTCTGCGAGCAAACAAAACACTCAGATGTTCTAAAAGAACACTTGTTTGGCTGATGGCGGTTTCCACAACGAAAGCATCTCGACACATTATGGCCTTTAGACAGTCCCTTACTATTGGGTGAATTATTATAACTATTGTATTTATTTCCACTATGAGGATTTTTATACTGATAATTTGTGGTTGACTTCTTGTGATGCACTATCTTATTCACTGGCTTACTAGACGAATTAAAATCTTGATTGTTGGGTTTTAATTCCAAACTGTTTTTAACTGCTATAGCTCCATTGCAACTGCGATTTCTACGGCATTTTTTAGCTCAAGATTGGCTACAGCCAATAATTTTCTCTGTATAGCAGCATCTTTCAAACCACATAAAAGTCTATCTCGCAGTGCCTGACTCAAAAATTCTCCAAAATCACATGTAGTTGCTAACTGTTTTAGTACCACTAAATAATTAGACAAATTTTCCTCCTCTTTCTGGTTTCTGTGATGAAACTTAAAACGCTCAGCGATCACGACTGGCGTAGGTGAAAAATGATTTTTCAAGGCCTCGACAAGCTCCCTATAAGACTTGGTACTAGGCAAATCCGGTGCTAAAATACTCTTCATTAGTCCGTAAGTTGAAGAACACACAACGGTCAACAATATCGGCACTTGTTTATCATCAGTTACTTCATTCGCTAAAAAATATTGTTCTAATTTACCAGAAGCACATGTACACCAAAGCACTATGGGTAAAATGAACACCAGAATATTCTACCGGTATGACGTCATACATAACGTAATAATAATACGATGCGTAACCATAAATACTACAATTCTGACCCATGGAACGAGACTCGTGGGGAGATCCAAGCATAATGCTTTGGGGTGGAATCGGCCTGAACCAGAGAGTGGGTCCTGTGGTGTTCCAAAATCTTGGTCCAGGGAGAGGAGGCGGCATTACAACGCCCGTGCCCACACCGCCAGAGTTACTCGGGACTTTCTACAGCAGAACGGTGTCAACGTTAAACACTGGCCAGTACTTAGTCCGGACTTAAACCCGATTGAACATCTTTGGGATGAAATTCAGAGGAGACTTAATAACGTCGATCGTACCGAGACCAAGTTAACACAGCCGATGGATCGCGCCAGGCTTTTCCGAGAGTGTGGTTCCAGGTGCCAATGGCGTGCATCAATCGTCTGGTCCACTCCATGTACAGACGCTGCGCTGCTGTTATTGACACTCGCGGTGGACACACCAGACACTGATGTATAGACTGTGTACAGACTCTAAACATTTTGATGAATTAATCACTAATGTGTCAACATACTGATCACAAAAAATTGCTTTGATCCATTTAGTGTCGTTTTTTAGATCTAGAATGATTTCATTAAAGCGCCTCTCTGATTTTGAAATCGTAATGACGTTTTTTTTTGTTTTTTTTTTTTTTGGCTTGCGGTTTAACGAATTTGACCGATTTACAAAACAAAGTTGTCATTTATGTCTCTTCAACTACAAAAGCAACCGAAAGCAAGACCTGGCCACCACACTCTCTGATATAAGGTTTGCCCAGTTTACAGCGTGGTAGCGTCTTACATATATCTTTTGTTGGGAAACAACTGAATGTGCGGCTATTATGCCTGTAAAAAAAACCCCAGATTATGTTGTTTAAACAACTGTAGAGTACACGGGTGCGTTGAGATACTAGAGGGTTAAAAAAAAAAGTTCACCGAGTATTGTTTATTATTATATTCTTGAAGGAGAAACCAGAAAAATTCGGCCCATTATAATTTACGATATGAAATAGGCATTGAAAATTGTTTATCATATAAAAAGATAATAAAATCTTGTTCCAATCAGAATATTTATTTTTTGGTTTTGACAATCTATCATTTGTCATCGAAATATACCCCCACCCGCAAATTTTATAAAAAAAAATCGTAGTCAACAGCGTCCGTGAACAGTGAAAGACGTTATACAAAATAAACTTACCGACATAAAGCAATATTATAATTCATATAATGGTTACGTTTAGATAAATATCAATGGGGATATTTCAAAAAGATATGTTATAACATAAATACGAAATAACCTTAATTTAATGACGTGAAGCAATATTTGATACGTTTGGATAAATATTAATGGTGGAGATTGCCAACAGGAAATGGATATCGGGGTCGCGCACCTGTAAAATAACTACTTCTAGAAAGTATTTCATTAAAATGGGATAGTGGGTATATATTTCTGGGCCCTTATTCACGAAAACTTAAACTAAGATACAATCGAAATTTTAAGAAATACTGCAATTCGATTGGCTGACCAGTAAAATCAATTTGCATATATCCAATGAAGTTGCAGTATTTCTTAAAATTTTGGTTGTAACTTAGTTTAAGTTTTCGTGAATAAGGGCCCTGTTTTCGACCGGTGAAGCAAACATCAAAGGGCTTACTGTTCAAGGGCGACAACTCTATTTAGTATATTAGGAATCAGCCCATTAATCCTTTCCATACCTTTCTTGGTCGATTGATCGTTATTGATGGGCATGTTAGATATTGTATGCTGCCCTTAATAGATGGCTCGGTACAATCAAATCTTATCTCTAACTGCCAACCACAAATAACTAGTTATTCTTACTTTTAAAAACGTCTCTTTATGTTGCTGCCAAAATCCATTGTAGAGCAACTTTTTAATATGCACAGGATCATTTCCAATAAAACTGCAAATAATTATCTCCGTCAGTTATATCCTTTTATGAATTGCTAGAACACCTGATAGCACTTTGCACTTGAAAAAATGAAATGGAGTTTAACGTCCTACTTTCTGCACCGACCTGGTTAAAGAAGACGGGCATACGCCATGCAATATGTATGAGGGAAATTTTGCCCTACAGGTCTTATTTCTAATTCTGTCAATCCTACACCACTGATAAGGGGGAACCACAACAGGAAATCACGATGAACTTCTCAGCCAACGCAAGGATTGAACACGGGGCCTCAGTTCATAGGCGTACGGGGAAATTTTTTGACTGGGGGGGGGGGGGGGGGGCGGTGGTGGTTGGTGCCCCAAAAATGTAGTTAGGTTCTTAGTATGTTACATAATAATAATAAATTCGCTGTTAAATTGGACACATTCAAGAACACGATATCTTTTTTATACAACTTTTACAAAATACAATTGTGTGCCCAAATTTTCCCAGCATTTCCCCCCCCCCCCCGTACGCCTATGCCTCAGTTTATCTCCCCACCTGTCCTGCACCACTGACAAGGAAAAACCACGCCGGAGGAACTTTGTCGACCAACAGCGAGGGCGTACTCACCTGTACCACATACCACGACTCCCACATGCTTATGGGTTTCACTGTTCCCTCTTTCAGGGTAAATCTTCTTTCTGCTACATTCAGCGATACAGTCTGGCCGTAACGTTTGAAAATCTATTTACCATACTAACAAAGTACAGGACAAAATTCACATTTTCTTTTAACTTCTTAACATGTATATACTATACATTTTGAAATAATGGTTCCGATATATTTTTCACTTTTAACATGAACGTCAACTTGTATTTCATATGTAAATGTTTATTACTATTTAGTTTATGTACGGTAGGCCTACTGTATAATGTAATAATGTATATAATCTGGTGGATGTTGTGATACATTAAAATCTTATCTATCTTATAGTTAAAACATTATTTTCGGTCATAATACCACTTTCAAATATTTGCAATTAATTTGATTTGAATTAATATTTTGCACAATAAAATATGTATATTGAATATTCCCCGTATTATAAAACCCTACAATTTAGAGCGGTTTTCTTCCTGGTTAATCGAGACTATATCACGTGATACGCGACATAAAAATGGCTACCCCCGTACGTCAATACACGGGGAAGCTTCTAGCTGTAACAACCTATTTACGATGCAGGGCTACAATTTCATCACGTTCAACAGTTTTCTTAACAATCAGGCATCAGAAGAAGAAAATGTTTACAGCTAAAACAGTCGCAACACCATGTTTGGTTGCAGGACAAAGAGTACGTAATTTTATTGTGGCATCATGCGGATTATCCATTGCTACTTTGGGTTTCGCTTTTTTGAAACCGGCCGAATGTAGTAACAGAGATAGTGATAGACACTTAGAACTACTAAATGCAATCAAAGATAATAACTTGTATGAAATCCAGAGATTATTGAAGGATAAAGTGTCGCCAGATTGTAGACATGTGTTGGGTTGGACAGCTCTCCAATTGGCAGCTGTTAATCGGAATATCAAAGCCCTCCATCTGTTACTTGATGCAGGGGCGGATCCGAATCTCGGAGACGAATTTGTGAATATAAATGTCACGTCTAGGGAGAAGAAATTGAACACGTTACAAGTGTTGCTGTCACGGGAAGAAGATTTTTGTGACAGATTAAATAACAGTGTTAATTTTAAAGACAGTACTGCCCTTCATTATGCCGTTTTAGTCGAGGATAAGGATGTTGTAGAAGCTTTATTAAAAGCTGGGGCTGACCCAACTAAAGAAAATGCGTTAGGTCATAAGCCAATTGCGTACGCCAGATCACCCGCTGTAAAAAATATTCTCAAGAATTACGAAAAAGATTTCCATGAAATAAAAGCCCAAAACGAAGCGGAGGAAAGACGAAAATATCCTTTAGAGAATCGAATAAGAGAAGTGATTATTGGACAAGAAATAGCCATTAATACTGTTGCATCAGCCATACGGAGAAAAGAAAATGGCTGGTACGATGAGGACACACCCTTAGTATTCCTATTTTTAGGATCGTCGGGTATCGGAAAAACTGAACTGGCTAAACAAGTGGCTAAATATCTCCACAAAGATTCCAAAAAGGGATTTATCCGAATTGATATGTCCGAATATCAGGAGAAACACGAGGTTGCTAAGTTCATTGGATCTCCGCCTGGTTACGTTGGACACGAAGAAGGCGGTCAGTTAACTAAAAAATTAAAGCAATGTCCAACGGCTGTTGTTTTGTTTGATGAAGTGGACAAAGCTCACCCCGATGTCCTGACGATAATGTTGCAACTCTTTGATGAAGGACGATTAACTGACGGTAAAGGAAAAACAATAGAATGCAAAGACGCCATCTTTATCATGACCTCTAACCTCGCCAGTGAAGAAATCGCACAGCATGCTTTGGATCTACGCGAGGAAGCGAAATTAGCAAATAAACAAAAGAGTACTGGTGTTGATAACAGCGAAATACTGGAAATGGTAACGATATCCAGAAATTTCAAAGATAAAGTCGTCCGACCGATCTTGAAGCGAAGTTTCAGACGAGACGAATTCTTGGGAAGAATCAGTGAAATTGTGTACTTTTTGCCCTTTTCCCGATTAGAGCTGAGCAAGCTAGTCACAAATGAACTGGAATTCTGGTCTAAAAGAGCCAAGGCTAAGCATAACATTGAGTTACAATGGGATCACCATGTTGTAGATGTTTTAGCCGATGGTTATGATGTTCATTACGGAGCGAGATCCATCAAGCACGAGGTGGAACGGCAAGTTGTAACACAGCTAGCCATGGCCCACGAGCAGCAGTTGATATCCAAAGGTTGCTCGATTCGTTTGGTCGTACCCAATCCTAGCGATCCAACCAAGTCCCTTGATTCTAAATCATCTGACCAGTTGAACAATCGAGTGATAAAACTACAAATACGAAAACAAGGTTCTAAAGAATTTAAAGACTTGGACTTCAAAAATCCATCAAAAAGACTTGCAGATGCAAATAGCTTTGTTTCATGATGAGTGCGTTTTTTTTTATAAATCCATTTAGTGGTTTGAGAATGATTAAAAGAGGTATTTTTGATAAGTCTTAATAAACCAAGGATAATAGATTTTTGTGTGGTTTCTTTAGTGGAATAGGTTATTTATTTAGGCCTGAAATGTTATATATATTATATACTAGACATTAATTAACTTATCCAGACCATAAACAACTCTAGATGGCATCGCTAGCCTGCAATATTTACTGGATTTGAATTGGATCTGCTGCTCAACGCCCATTCATGATTAAATCAAAAAATGGATAATTGAGACTATGTTTTTTATCATACCTACTTTAGTAATGATGATCGAGGCTAGGCCTAAAATTCAATGCTAAATTTTCGGTTCAGAGTGGATCAATTTGACTGAAATTTTTAGCAAATTCCCTTTACATCATCTAGTTTTTAACTGCCAGCTCTTTATCTAATCTCCCATAATGTATCATTTAAATTTTATTATTTTATTGTATTTACGACAGCACTTGATTTTATAATGTCCGCTATGCTTTACACTAATTTTGAACAAATCCGATTAAAACTGTAGCCTCTATCGTTTTCACGCGGACTTGGCAAAGGGGGTATGTCTGGAAAGACAAATCGCAGAATGCAGTATATCGTCCTCACATGACCCAATGATTCCCACTAAATTTGAAAAGAATCCGATAAAAACTACAGCTTTTTATACGTCCATAAAAATTTCGGGTTTACAGAGAGCGCCGGTCTTTCTTGAGAGGCGAAGAGAGTGGAGCTAACCATGCCCCCCCCCCCCCTCCACACACACACACCCACCCACACACACACCCCTCAAAAGAAAATTTTGGAATATTTGACGGCTGCAAACACGTTTTCCTGCTATTTCGGCCCGTGAACAAAGTAACTTCAAAGTGGTCTAATATAGCCTTATTAAGGTGGCTGACTCGAATTCCAATCAATCGTTTACAGTCCACGAAGACGGGACCGTGGGAGAAAATTTTGAAAATTTAACTGCAGCAAACGCGTTTTCCTGCTATTCCAGCCTGTAAATACAGCAACTTCAATTTGGTCAAATATAGCCTACCTGGCTGATCGGAATTTCAAACAACTAATCAATCGTCGCTGGGTTCGGGGGTATACCCTCCCGGAGAAAATTTTGAAAATTTAACCACCGCAAATGCGTTTTCTGCTATTCTAGCCCTTGTAAACTCCAAAAGTATCCAATGGTTTTGTAACCGAAATCCCACTCTGAATTCCAGCCATCCAATCAGAAATGAAATGAAATGAAATGGGGTTTAACGTCCTACTGTTCTGCTCCTATACTGGGCTAATGAAGACGGGCATACGCCATACAGTGTGCTATATATGAGGGAAATTTTGCTCGGGCAGCGGCACTATCGCCTACTCTTATATCAAATTCCAACTGCCAAGGGATCTTTTACGTGCATTCCAATGTATACACGGGACCTCGGTTTTTCGTCTCATCCGAAGGACTAGACAGCTGTCCATTTCAGGCCCTCCGTCCTGCATCACTGACAAGGGGGAACCACGCCGGAAAATCTGGATGAACTTTCTCGGCCAATGCAGGGATCGAACACCCGACCTCCAGGCTAGCGAGCCAGCGTCTTACCCACTTAGCCACGTACGTGATCCCCCCCCCCCCATCCAATCAGACTGTTGCAGCTGCATTCACAAATAATAATCGATGCCCGAAAAATGTCGCACAAAGTAGAGTGGCTCCAGGCAACATTTTTTAATCCATAGTCAACTCAGTACAAATTCGTGGTATTCAATTAAAAGAAAAGAAAATTAGTGTTATATTAGGGCTCGATAACAGTAAGGGGGGCCAACTAGAAATGTCCAAAAAAATTTCGGGTTAACAGACAATGCCGCTGGTTTTCTTCGAGAGGCGCAGAAGTGGAACTGACCTTGTATGGACCCCCAAAGAAAATTTTGGAATATTTGACAGCCGCAAACGCGTTTTCCTGCTATTCCAGCCCGTAAAATTAGTGTTTTATTAGATTTCGGGCACTTTATTTTGCCAAGAAGATGAAATAAAATTTTTTTCACTTTACCCGTCTGCCCGAAAAGTCAGCTTGCCCGAAAGTTAGGGGGGCAGCTGCCCCCCCCGCCCCCTGCCTTTTTTTTTTAAATATGTCCCCTCATGACCACCATACTTTGCACCAAATTTGAAAAAGATCCGTCTAAACCCGTAGCCTCTATCACGTTCACAAACCAATTGTTGACGGACAGACGGAAAGACCGACAAGGTGACGACTATGCGTATAAAAAATGCATTCGACAGAATGAGAATGTTGAAAATTATGATTTTATGGTGCAGTCATGGGGTATAAAATGTGGCTTTTAATAAGCTATTGTCAGTAAAACAGTTATGTGGAAGACGCAACGATATCCGAAGGTTGACACTGACGTCATTGTGTTAATTGAAAAGAAAATGAATTGGGGTTTAACGTTCTACTTTACTGCACCAACAGGGATAATGAAGACAGACATACGAAGGAAATTTTTTCCTGGACAGTGGCGTTTGAACCTACTCTTCGTCGAATTTCACTTGCTCAGTCAGTCCCTGTCCTTGCACCGATTATAAAGGGGTCACGGATCTCTATTTCACAAAACCTCATCCCGGCAAAAATCTTGAAGAGGCTTGACTATCGCGATTTTTTCTACTTGAAGTCAAATGAATCTTTTGGCTGTGGTTTCTCTATTTAGTCCGTGGCAGAAAATGTAAGTTCGAAATACTCCTACTTGGATGACCAAAAAGTCAACAAAAATTGCCATGGAGAGAGAGAGAGAGAGAGAGAGAGAGAAATGAGGTTTAACGTCCACTCGACACAAACTAGGTCATTTCGGGAGTAACACATGATTCTGCAGAGCCTCGTTTTTTGTTACTTTATCAACTTGTGTTGATATTTTTTGATATCAAAAAAGACTGGTAGGAGATTCTCTATATATCAAATACGGCAAATTACAAAGGTTAAATACAGGAAACTACAATATCTATGATAGTACTTTTCGAGTTATTAAAATATCCACGGTCTGAGTTTAATATCCTTTCTAATTCAGACCTAACGGCTTAAACGTGGCAAGAGCCACATACTTCTTGAGTGTTCTACATAAGGTTCGCGTTAGGATGATGTGTTCAACCTGGCCTCTAAGCCGAGGAGGCTATGGCTGTAATGTCCCCCGGAGCTCCCAATGATGTCTGAGGGTAAATCAAACCAGCTCTCTCCTATATAGAAAGTATAACGCGTCATCTATTAGGGCGGGACAATTACCATTTTTGGGTAAGTGTTTCGTATAGGCACCGTTTTACGTCAACACTATTCTAGTTAATTGTACTAATCTGTGCACGAGATAACTGGACGATAGTACCCTACTTTCCAGAAATGGATACTGACATAACTGTCTGTGAGTTAGTCTAAGAAAGTAGTAGATTAATGCAAGCTACTTCATTACCCTAGTTTTCGTCACTCATCATGTAGGTAAAGAATTTCTATATTAAACAGAACACCTTTCTTAGAACTAAAATAACCCCCATAGTATTACACCATGTGGAATAAAATGGAATGATAGGTAACCTGCGTGAAATCGTAGTTATCCAAATTTTAACTGTCCCTACGAGCTGAAACTGCCAACTGCTTTTTCAAAATATGGCAATTACAATTAGGATTTAAGAACTAAAACGTGTTACTTACGTGCTGATAATGCCAAACTAATAAATACATGCAAATAAAAACCAGGATTTGAATAACTATGTCACTTTCAAACTTTGAGATATGAATAAATGAGCCGACATTGCCAAAACTTTTGAAATCCAAATAAAATGTCAGCCAAATCTTTTGATATCTAAATGAACCACTTACAAGTTGACACTGATAAAACTGTTGAGATATGAATATGTCACTTATAGGTTGACACTGTCCAAATTTTTGATATCTATATGCGTCACAATAAATACTTTGTCACTTACAAACTGACATTGCCCAAACCATTTGAGATCTAAATAGTATGCCACTTATAGGCCTTTTTATATCTAGATACTACGTCACTTACAAACCGACACAACCAAAACTTCTTAGATCTAAATACGTCACATACAGGTCGACACTGCCCAAGGTTTGATATCTAGATACGTCACGTACTGGCTGACAAATACCAAAACTTTTAAGATCTAAATATTATGCCACTTACAGATTGACACTATCAAAAACTTTTAAGATCTAAATAATATTTCAATTACCGGCTAACACTACCAAGATTTTTGAGATCTAACTAATATGCCACTTACAGGCAGACAATGCCAAACGTTTGAGATCTAAATAACATGCCACTTACAGGCTAACAATATCAAAAAATTTTAAGATCGGAATAATGTGCCACTTACAGGCAGACACTGCCAAACGTAGATCTAAATAAAACGCCACCTACAGGCTGACACTATCAACACCTTTAAGGTCTAAATAATGGAGAGAGAGAGACAAATGGGGTTTAACGTCCACTCGACACAAACTAGGTAATTTCGGGACTAACATATCGTTGATTTTTTTTATTTAAAAAATTCGCTTGCGCGTAGGGGTCTTTAGCAGTGAGAGGAAACCAGAGAACCCGGAGAAAACCCACGAGGTTGGACAGGCGACCCTACTCCTTGTCACGTACAACCGGGGAATCGAAACCCCGCCAGTTGACTCAATGACAGACCGTATGATACAGCATGCGCGTGCTACCCCCCCCCCCTCGTCTAAATAATGTGTCAATCACAGGCTGATACTAACATGATTTTTGAGATTTGAATAATGTGTCAATTACAGACTGACACTGCCAAGACTTATGAGATTCAAAAAATATGTCACTTACATGCTGACACTGCCAAACCTTCTGATATCTAGATAAAATGTCACTTACTTTTGATATCTGAAAAATGTGTCATTAAGAGGCTAACACTGCCAAGATGTTTGAGATTTACATAATGTGTCACTTACAGGCTGACACTGCCAAAACTTTTGAGGTCTACAAGTCATTTGATATCTAAATACTATGTCACTTACAGGCTAATACCGTCAAAAACATTTTGATATAAGTACGCCACTTAAAGAATGGCAATATCAAAACTTTTATGATCTGAATAATATGTCATTATAGGTTGATATTTCCAAAACTTTGGAGATTTGAATAATGTGCCACTTATAGGCTGACACAACTAAGATTTTTGAGATCTAAATAATATATCACTTCCCGGCTGACACTACCAAAACTTTTGAAATCTAAATAATATGTCACTTACAGACTGACACTACCAAAACAGTTGAGATCTAAATAATATGCCACTTAGAGGCTGACACTGTCAACATTTTTGAATCTGAATAATGTGTCACTTACAGGCTGACACTACCAAGATTTTTGAGATCTGAATAAATGTGTCGCTTACAGTCTTTTGAGATCTGAATAATGTGTGACTTACAGGCTGACAATGCCAAAAACTGTTAAAGTTAAAATTTGAATAGGCTGACACTGCCCAAAAAAGAATTTAGTTTCCCAAAACCTCTTGGTTTGGGATATGTAATGTCACAAAAAGATAAAGCAACAAATATACCTCAGAATCCACACTTTCCTCAAAATTTCTCTTATGGCATTTTCTCTATAAGTACTAGCCCCTGTATCTGTTGTTTGGACCGATTTCACCTTTATATTCACAATCGCTATTGCTGAATTAGCCAACAGCACCATATTCACAATATTTAATTAGTCGAAATCATCTACTGGATTTGCGATGTTAGCCATATCATCCAAATCCTCGAATATTTCTTTTCTTCTTTTTAAAGTCTTTAAAGGTATATATTTTTGAAAACTATAAACTTTAGTCCCTTTTTGAAATATCTTTACTATTGCAAATAAATCACCTTTTTATAACGATACTTTCGGATTGAGAATAGACCAGGCCCGTTGCTATAAGGGGCGGGGGAGGGGGCAGCCCAACCAATGTCATTCCGCTTTATGGGGCGCCCATACTGATATGGGCACGTTGTTCGTTTGCCTCGTATTGCATCCAATGGAAAGGGTGCGATTCGGCGCCCGGGCCTGTAGGCATTTTCTCTTCAAAAGCCACGTCGTCTTGCCGGGTCGGGAGGTTAACGACGTGAGGCGGGCTCACAGTGCCGTTCGCCGTTTACCGTCAAGTGTAGGTACATCGGCGCCCCCAGAAGACCGATCGGCGTCCTCAGAAGCCCCTGTCCCTCCCCAACATTTTTGGGCTAGCTACGGGCCTGCAGTTTCGCTACGAAAACGGGGTGTATGTATATTTCTAGTTAATCCCAGCTGCCCCTTTATCAACTACGCTAATGCCTGATTTCAAAAGACTGTCTGGGGTTGATTGGGTTGCTCAACTCATTAAGGAATCCACTGGTGCCTATTTATAGATCCAAAGAAACTAATTGATCGAGAAATATGTTTTGCGGTTTGTCTTTTGTCTTTGACACGAACCGACTCTGTTAGGGTTAGGGTTAGTTCTTTAGTCACATTTAAAATGCAATGGCAAAGAAAATAAATAGTACCTCAACTTAATACGTCAAGATTTACAAAAAATGAGAGTGAAGCGTTAATTTCTATAGATTCTTATACGTGATTGTCTTTATTTTATTTTGAAAAACACCAAGGCGACAGATAAACATTATTTATCATGCGCTCTCTCTTCGCTCTTGATTCTGGTTGCGGCTGGACTATAAAATATTTGGTAAGCCATTTAAATCGTATTTTACAAGGATCTATTTTAAAATGTAATGCTAAATATACCACCAACAAACGCAATGTTACTAATAATTATTATGCGAATTGAAATATATTTTAAAATAATTTTTACAGGTACATCATTCACTTATATGTACAATTTTAATGTAGAGTCTGTTATTATGCAATATAATTTTATAGCACATAGCGAATTAAGAAAGGGTTGGGTTACACGGAAGTGATAGCATAATAATTTTTAATACATTTGTCCAAGACACACAAAGATGGCGTTTTGTAATTTATAGAAACTAATGTAAACTTCAAATAGGCATAACTTAAGGTCGGAAAAGATCGATATATGCATAGTGTTTGAACTAGAATATTTTAATACACATATTTTTTGAATGTTTATTGTCTTGAACACTCTTTACTGGCATGTTGGACTTCCACCATGGCATTGATGTCATAACAATAAGGTTTTTATGTTCTGCCATTGTCAACATTCTTTTATTAGAAAATACAGATTAAAGGGCGTAAAGCTATATTCTTTGGAACCTTATAATAGACTAAAGAGATTTATATTCAATTTAAAAAAAATCTATTATAATGTCTAATCAATTATATTCGGCGAAATAATCGAACAATCTAAATATTTTTTCGTTTGTGAATCAGACATTACTAAGTACTTTGGCATTGTCTTGTAGGATATGTTTGTCTTTGTTCAATATAAATGACGCCTGAAACCATAGAATACACGACTCGTGTAGTGATTATGAAATGTTCATCGTGTCTTAAATATTTGATATTAGGATCCCATATTTTCACGGCAAGATATCAACATTAAGTTATCTCCTTTAAGCTAATAAACATATATTATATAGTAAATCCATTTATCAATATTTCTCTTGAGCGTAAAATCCAAGAGACACCACCTTGAACAGGGATCATAGTAGCGTTTATTAGGTCAGAAGCAAAAGGCGTCGAGAAAAAGTCTAATATATTATATGAATTACCTATCCCTTTTAATTATGGTCTGATACTTTGGACTGAAACCTCCCTATGCTGTAAATTAAAGATACATTAAGTAAGATTTAGATAAATATCTAGCCATTCTTGCTGCATATATGCAATAGTTAAATCTGCCTATTGCAGGTCTTTCTTTAGTCCTGAAATGTTATATAAACTATTAATTAGACATTTATTAACAAAACAAGACCATAATCAACGCTCGATGGCATTGGATACTCGAGATTTTAACTAAATTAGAAGGGTTCGCCATTTAAAAAATGAATTTAAAAATGGTAAAGCGTGGCTAAGTCTCGAATATACCAGTGCCCTGGTTACCACAATGCACACATCTTGTTAAAACTACAAACAGTGATAACTTATCTCAGAATAAAGTAATTTGAATGAAATTTTCAATATTTTCATTTTACATTATCTATTTTTGAGCTATTATAGCAAAAATGGTCAACTGTATCTTTAATTTTGCGTTTACTTCTTAAAGTCGACTTTGCATTATTAACCTCACTTGAATAAACGATACCCTTTTAAATAAAGAAACACCTTCGATAAGTGTTGAAATATTTTGATAACGAACATAATTATATGTCATGGAGAAATTGAATGAAACAGCAATTTTGACCAGTGATAATTAATGACGGGTTCACGCGCGTTATAAAAGGAGCACGTCACGTTGCTTGGCAAGCAATATCGTCCGATTCCTTAAAAGTCATATTGTTATTTAATAGAACCGAGATGAATGTAAAAGTTTATCGGATATTTATTGATTTTGTCATGGTTATGAACAAAACAAACCCATTTAATAAATACTCTCAGTTCAAATGTTTAAGCTGGTAACTGGTTTGGTTAGGTTCCTTGTACAGCTAGGGGCCCAAGTGAAACTACATCAGAGACACATCTGCGAATCTATGTGTGAAATGGCTTTATTTAATCTCCGATTCCAACCCCACCCCTCGCCGTCCCCTGCTACACAACCCCGTTACGTAACCCCGTTGAAAATTCCAGACACTGTAAGGACTATTTCATCGCATTTTGGCGTTTCTTTTGCGTACTGAGCTCTTTAATTTAAGCTTTCTTCTTATCTTTGCAAGTTTTAGGTATTGACAATCAGCAAACAAGTCAACTAAATTTAGAAAACAAACGGAGCCAATTCGCAAACCAATAGAAGATGAGCGTTAAACCAGAAGAATTGCCAGGAGTTCCTGACAATGGTGGCCCGCCTGTTTACAATACCGGCGTTCAGCAACAACCAGTGCACCATCAACCAATGACCTACCAGCCACAACAATATGGCGGACCACCAGTTGTCGGACATGTATGTATTTTCCTTTTTAAAAAGAAAACCATTATAACCTGGCACAATAATGCCCACTCGATTCTACTGCTGTGTAAGATATGCCATGATCAGAATTTATGTAAAAAATGTAAACAACATCCAAAATTCAAGAGAGAGAGAGAGAGAGAGAGAGAGAGAGAGAGGCCAATATATGGTTCAATTTTATCTCAATAATTCGCTTGTGCGTAGAGGTCTTTAGCAGTGGAAGGAAACCGAGGTTAGACAGTACAACCTGGGAATCGAAACCACACCAGCTGACTCAATGACAGACCTGACACAATAATGCCCACTCGATTCTATTGCTGTGTAAGATATGCCATGAACAGAATTTATGTAAAAAATGTAAACAACGTCCAAAATTCAAGAGAGAGAGAGAGAGAGAGAGAGAGAGAGAGAGAGAGACCAATATATGGTTCATTTTTATCTCAATAATTCGCTTGTGCGTATGGGTCTTTAACAGTGGAAGGAAACCGAAGGACCTGCACAGAAAACCCACGAGGTTTGACAGTACAACCTGGGAATCGAAACCACACCAGCTGACTCAATGACAGACGTTATGATGCTACGCGCACGCGCTAACCATTGTTCAATCCCCCCCCACCAAAAAAAAAATATCAAGAACAGGATCTAAGATATTGATTAATGATAGCGAATGTCAATTTGAATTATTCACGGTTGTCAAGGAGTCCTAACCAAGCTACTTTAATCGATCCTATTGAAGATAAATAAAATCTATTGTGATAATCAAAAGAAGCAAAAAGGGTTTTCGTGTACACTTACAGGGCTGATAAGTTTGGTGACGTATTCGAGGAATGCTGTGGACCAATGGGGTTTCCGCATTAGGGTGTTGGCTATTAAGTTTCTTTAACCCAGTGGACACTACGTGTTAGAGCGCTTTAAACGACATTGCATAGCCATGCACCGGAAGGAGTTTTACTTGTATAATAATTATATGTACTACCACATCGCGGAACATGGGAATAAAGGGACACAACCAGACCCCATCTTATTACTCTGTCGATCGCGATGCTTCCATATAAATTACTAATTTCGAAAATGGATATTGCAGACAGGAATATTGAAGTGGTTATTGCAGCTAGGGGCCTTTGAGAACGAAAAATCTTACAGTCCATCCATGCAGCAAGCTGGGTACACATAAGACTCAACTATCATCTTAAAGATACATTATATAAGAGCTAAATCTGCCTATTGCATGTCTTTCTTTTGGATTCAAATGTCATATAAATTATTTAGACAATTATTAACATGACAAGCCCATAACCAACTCTTTAGAACAACGGATAGGTGAGATTTAAATGGATTTAAACATCCGCGAGATTAAAAAATTTAACGATAATATGGACAATTGAGGCCAAGTATCGTGTCCCGCACCGTTGTTAGACAACAAACAATCAACGCTATATCTTCCATCACTAATAATTTCGCCCAGAATAAAGTTATTTGAATAAACTTTTCAATATATTCCATCTTACATCTTGCATCTTTAAATTTGGTTGAGTAACCTTTTTACGAAGGTACTTTGTCTCTGCATTCGGACTGAGCGATTGACAACTTTTTAGTAAATATTTTTTGGGTTTGGGTTTTGACCTCGAATTGTCTCGAAGGTGGCCTCAATAAATGTAAGCCGATTTCTGTAATACAAAAAAAGTGGTGATAATAATCTATGCTAATAATATCACCGAATGTAATATAAACCTCTTATACCTGAACATTAAAAGCCCCCTCCCCCTCATACCTTCACGATATCAATATTGTATATTTTGTTCTACCACAGAATCTAGGTTCCTTATGCCAAATTAGCAGCACAATCCCCCTGATTTCCCTGTTCCAGTCCAATTACTATATGCCATTGAAATAAGTTATCGGTTGGTTTCGATCATTACGTCTCGATCGAGTGGATTGTTTTTTTTTATACAATTAATATAGTACTAGCACTAAACAAAACATTTACTTTTCCGTTCCTTTTGTCTGCATGGTCGCTTAGGTAACAGCCCACTTTATATAAACAAACAACTAATAAATATGTCAGCTCAATGCACTCAAGTTAAACTTATAGTTTCATAAATACACGTAGCGTGGTAGTTTGCCAGTCGACCACCATTATAGTTATGGGACATGGAGACACAAAACCAGAAATGTGTAACGTAAGAGGGATCCGCGGAATAAGCTCGAGCAACGATTGAACAATGATTATCAGAATCTGCCAATAGCATTGAAAACCGCATTGAAATCCACATGATTTTTTTTGCATGTGAGAGTGGGTGCGAAAACTCAAGCGGGCACAAAAGAGAGAGAGAGATAAATGGGGTTTAACGTCCACCCGACACAAACTAGGTCATTTCGGGACTAACATATGGTTTAATTTTATTTACATAATTCGCTTGCGCGTAGGGGTCTTTAGCAGTGAGAGGAAACCGGAAAGCGGGCACAAAAACTCTGAACCCATGACGCCATTGCGCCCCCTTCACTTACCTCCTGTTACAGTTCCTATCCATCAGCAACGATGTCATGGAAATAGTAGAACAAGTACGATAGTGCTATATGTACCAGGAGATGACGTTATCGTCGCCATCTTGGAATTTGAGGTCATATTATATCCGTCACTTGATGCGCAATTGTCAAGGAACAAACATGCAAGTTTCATGTCAATCGTACTTGATTTTGCGGAGACTTTGGCTTTTGTCGAGGAGCTTCAACAAAATGTGTAGCGATTGAGGCCAGGTTAAAAATATACTGAATTGTTACACGGATCTTCATTATCACAGTCTGATATCATCTACAAAACCGACACTGTTATTTTGGTGGGGCCATACGTTTCTGGTTAAATAATAAATAGATGATTCGCTTTACAGTCCAATGTAAACAGTCAGTTTAACCCGTGTAAAGAAATAGAAACTCGCATTGCCATTATCAAGTTATGGATCACAATTATCATGTTGGAATTACATTCTAACAAAACCAAGGCAGTGCTGATAGCTTTGAGTAGAGGTTGGACAGAAGTAATCGTGTAAATAAAAAATGATTGCCAATCTTCATCTGCTGAGATACTTTAATAATCTTTTGAATTGCAGCAACCAAGTACAAACACTACTGTTATAATTAACCAACAGGCACCAATGCGACCAGCTTTAAGACAGTGGAGTTCTGGTCTATTTTCGTGTTTTGAAGACGGCATGATATGTAAGTATTGTGTATAAAAGGAAGTTCAAGGACCCCATAACGAAGACCCCCTTTTTTGTTGCCCTTTTTATACTCCCACATAGCAGTGTGTGTGCATATTATGCCGTTACAGTGTCGGTCCATCACCAATTGGCTTGTGAACGCGAAACATGCTTGACAACGACAAGCGAATCATTGTTGAAACATAGCTCCGACTAAAATATAGTAATTATTTCCCATTGAACTGCTGTGTTTATAGATGCTACAGTTTTCACAGATTGTTTTCAAATTTGGTGTGAGGCATTGGGATCATGCTATGACAAACCATATCGATATTCAGCGTTCCACAGCCTTCCGTTCCTGTGTAGAGCTCCCTTTTTCGAAAACCCTGTGGACACCTACAGACTACAGATTATTTTCCGATTTAATCTGAAATATTGGGTTAATGAGAGGACGAAACCTATTGATATTCATTCGACCACGACCTTCAGTTCCGGAGCTACCCCCACCGCCTTTGCCAAAAAACCCTGTAAATCCGATAGTGGCAACAGGTTTTGAACGGGTATTTTTTCAAGCTTGTGAACACTAGGTTTCTTGAAGACATAATGTATCGGATATGCTGCTGTCTATGGTTGTCACTGTTTTTCCGCGACATTGCATGGTCATCTGTACCTCAGTATGTAATTTTAGTGGATGGTTTAAGGGAAATGAAATGAATTGTGGTTAAACATTCTGAGAACGACAACGACTTTCTCGTTCTCATTCTCGGAACGTATCTGAACCTCTCTAAAGTGGGGGACAGACGAGCGTATTTTTTCGCCCGATCGCGGCGATTTTTAAAATCGCTCGAAAAATACGCCCGTGTGCCCCTTCAGGGCGACGACGATTCTGCTTGGCGAACCATTCGCCCGATCAATCGCTCGTATCTAGCATGTTAGATATTTTCGGCCGAATATTTTTCGCCGGCGATTAAATTCGCTCGTGTGCCCGTGTCCAGCGTATATTGTCGGGCGATTCATTTTTATAAGCCAATCATCGAGATCGTTGATATCACATGATCTCAAAATTGCTGCCATTTTGTACAAGTCACGTGATGGACAAGTCATGTGATCGACATAATTACTCACAGAGTGGCGTACGCTCTTGAGACGATCGCTACGTGTGCCCGTTCGTTATCGGCCGTAAAAAATCGCTGCCGAATTTCAATCGCCGCGATCGGGCGGAAAATACGCTCGTCTGTCCATAGCATAATGGAAATGGGCATACATCGTGCAATGTTATATGAGGGACATGTTGCCCGGGCAACGGCATTTCCACCAACTCTTCGTCAAACACCGCGGACCACGGTGGCTAAGTGGGTAAGACGCTGGCTCGCTAGCCTGGAGGTCGGGTGCTCGATCCCTGCAGTGGCCGAGAAAGTTCATCCCGATTTTCCGACGTGGTTTCCCTTGTCAGTTATTGCAGGGCGGAGGGCCTGACAAGCACAGCTGTCTAGTCGTTTGGATGGGACGAAAAACCGAGGTCCCGTGTACACATTGGCGTGCACGTAAAAGATCCTTGGCAGTTGGAATTCGATATAAGAGTAGCCCGTAGCGCCGCTGCCCGGGCAAAATTCCCCTCATAGCACACTGTATGGCGTATGCCCGTCTTCATTAGCCCAGTTCGGAGCAGTAGGACGTTAAACCCCATTTCAATTCATTTCAATTGCGTCGAACACCATCTGTCAAGGGTTATTTTATGTGTTCACTTGATCTCGGCGTTTCGTACCACCAGAACGACTATAGGCGTTGTTCCTTTTACCACTGACAAAGGGAAACCACGCCTTACTCATACTGGACGCCGTGGATCCGTAAGTATAAGGGGTCTTCCATTTCTACATAGAAACCCCAAAAAGTGGAGAATATAGATTTTGCAATATTCCATCCAGTTTCATCGATGCCCTTATTCACACGAACGCCACACGCATTTATAGCAAGGGGGAAATGTTTGGTAAACTTTGTTTTTGAAAGAAGACATAACAAACGAAATGTTGCTCCCGATTGCAATGTGTTAAAGATCACAGGGGTCAATCAAGAATTGATATTCTGTCGAGAAGAAGTAAGGATGATGGCCTAGGATCCCATCTAATGTCACGCGAAACAATATCAGACATCTTTTTCGTTTTAAATAGAAATCTCGTTAAGCATTGTCGACGTTTTGTTACAGGTGCCTTGGCGTTTTTCTGTCCTGAATGTTTTGCGTGTCATCTTGCTTCTCAAGCTGGGGAAAGCTGCTGTTTACCTTGCTGTGTTCCCGGCTGGCTAGTTTCTTTAAGAGCTCACATTAGAGGAAGACATCAAATAGAGGTGAATTTGTCAGTCCCAAACTTCTTTTCTGATATTTTTTTTAAGAATATTTCTATTGATTTTATTAAAATATCGGATAACTTTAATTAACATCCGTGATAAAGCTTTCTGGATTTACTTACCTTGAATTGTTAAATTATTTATCAACACAACAATAGTGCTATCAATCATTTCCACGATTTTAACCAGACGTTAGAACTATAAATGAACTATTTCTAAATAGTAAATGTACAGCTATAGAAACAAAGTCTGAACAGAACTATCCCGTTTGCTGAAACATTATTCTTTATATCTCTGCTCAGCACAGCACAAATGATTACTCTTCCCAGAAATATAAGGAAAAGGGCGTTATGTTGTCTGCTCTCTTATTAAGGCCCGAATTTCTTGGAAATTGCGTACTGGACGCACCTTGTGACTCTTGCCCTGACAGCCAGCCCTGCACCCCTAAATGTGTTAGAATGCGCTTTTCTGAACAGGGTTAACGGAATACAAATTAGGTCTAGTGTTTTAATCCGAGCTATTCCCTAGATCAACACTAATTGTTTATATATTTTTCAGGGCTCTATTATGAGCGACTGCTGTACTGTTGGTTGCTGTTATCAATGTGCCATGTGTCAACTAGCCCGAGAGCTGAAAACCGCCAAGAGTAATGGACAGTATTAAATCCCAGGGCCTAGTAGCTAGGGGTGCTTTCAGAATCTGTCCCCTAATTTTTCTAACAGCTATAGCTTAAAGTCTCGATGCGTCATTTTAGCGCTATATTATATATGAATCACTTGTGAATCTCTAATATGGATATTAGTCCAACAATGGTTCAATTCGGTTCAGTATTTATAAGATAAGTGGAATTGAAATTTCATTGATCTATGCTGCTCGCTATACAATAGACCCGCCGTCATTTTCTTGCCCGGAAAATTTATTGATAGGCCTTTTTTAAAAATTCGATTGAACCCAATCCGGGACATTATCTAGTGTTGATGTTTTGAATTTGTTTTCTTAATTAAATATTAAATAATCAATTTGGGTACATATTAGCATGGATTAATCCGTGAGAAATTTGATATTTTACCGAAATATGCAAAATGACGCATCGGGACTTTAAGACTTGCTCACTGCACGTCGATTGGTGTGTGTGTAGATTTCTGGTATCAAGTCACATATTTGAATGTCATACTTTTGAAAGTTTACAAGCTAAAGTTGAGATTAACCCATTTAAAAAATCTTATTCAATGTTGTTGTTGTAGACGTGCATGACTGCAATAAATCGGAAATGAAATCCGAATCTAAAGATTCCAGATTCAGAACCCATTACTGTATTTATGCAGAAAAAAATATTTTAATATCAAAATCCAGATTCGTGGTGTGGATTCTTCTGGTTAAAAATGGTGACAATTTAAAATGTATTACTGTCTGCTTTTCCAAAATGACAAGGATATTGAAAACATATCTGCAACTATAATTGAGACTCTGGTCTCGGGTTCACTGCAATAAACACGTCTTTGGTCACATAAATTTACTAATTTATTTCTGCATTCGATACATCCCTATGATCTGACTTGACATGCCCAATGAAACTGTGAAGTCATATCAATCAAAATCGAGAAAAAAATATTGGTCGGCGAATATTGTACAACGAGAGTGCACCTTTAACGAAACTGCTGACATGGTCATTCAAATTAAGGATTGCTTTGAAATTAAATGGTGTACTCGATCAAACAATTAAAAATTACTACATGTAGATATTTTCGGATTTATTAAAAAATATTTCCTCTGTTGATCTGATAAACGCAAACAATAGGAAAACATTCCAAGATATGTTTTTAAAACTTAGTTTCGGAAATGAAACTTTGCAGATTATGACCGAATGTTTTTGTCGTGTTTTAACACTTTCAAAATATAATTGAAAACAAATCTTGTCTTTTGAGTGTCCTTCAACCTAGTGACGCTTAAAAGTAGTCAACTCAGTATTCACCAAATTAGAGGAAATAGAAGAAAGTTCTCAAAAATAAATACTTAAAAAGGCCTTAAGACCTATGTTCTTTATGCGGCACAATCAGTACAAACGCGCAGTCCGATTGCGACCATATTTTTTCAATAAGCTTGAAACATGCATTTATTTACATATGGTGGGTGGGGGTCACGGAAACTACGGCGGCTTTTCCGAAAATGTTATAGATCTGCTGTTATTCGTTATGTTTATTATAAAATATAATATACCAATATAAATGTCAAGCCTCTTCATTACAAATATAAATATTTAATTATTGTTGTTATAGAATGAAATAACAAAATGGCACATTTTGGGTTGTTTTGCAAAAATAGTATTATTAATAACTGTACAAAGTATATACTTAATAATGCATGTATTTACATAAGTTTCTTATTGTTAATTAATTAAATTTATATTAGGAATATCTGACATGATATTCGCTGATCTTTTTGGAGGGGGGGGGGGGGTATATTTCATTTTGTGTATTGTCATATCTAATAACTTTTATTGAATTTGATTTTACATTTATTTACGTTTGTAAAAATTTTAAAAAATATTTTAACTTTTTCAATGCTTATCAAAAGAGGTGAGCATACCATTATCTTAAATGAGACCCCTTATAAAGATTTACACATTAATATTAATTTACTTTAGAAATTGTTTACGATTGATTAATAGTTGTTTTGTCTTGTTCAATATTTTATTATTTAATACAATCTATTACAGTTATCAGCAGCAAATTTGTTTTTTGTTTCCGGCAAGTTTTTATGTCGATGAAATGTCACAGGGACACTCTTTCCTAGCTGCACTATTGTAGCGACGTGTCTTTTCAGCAGCTACAATTCTAGGGTGCCCCATGCAGCGAAAATTTTCTCTACTGAAAGTTGAATTCGACACAGCGAATGTACACGCTTTAGTGACTTGTCTCGATGTGATATTTCTGGCTAGTCACGCGCTGCGATAGCACTCAGCGCAAGAGTCTATGGGTCTATAAATAGCCATCGCACGTGAAATTCTCTACACATCTATCAACTATTACAGCCGTAAAAAATCTATTGTTGACGATTCTGAATAGCAGTAATATATAGCTTTGTAGTTATTACAGCAGCTTTAGAAATTACGTTCGTTTTATTTTTTAAATAGCTTTATCGTTAACTAAACCGCTAGGAGCGGCATCTTTTGGTTTAGTACACATAATATCTCTGAAACACTCGGGTTAGGCAAGAACATGATACTAGCAGCAGTTTCATTTTACTTTTACAAGGTTCTTAAAACAATTGTTGAGTTGCCTAACGTGCGTGTTTCTAAATTCTTGTTCCAACTTTCTGTTATGTTTCGTAAAAAAGTAGTCTTCATTATCCCGGCCTGTCAATCAGACGGAGAATAGTCGGTAGACTGGTTAAGCGAGGCTAATTTCAAAACAAGGGCACGTAATCTATTAAGTACAACAAGACCTTGTACTGAAATAATTACTGAACAGTTTTCTTCAGTTTCGAGGTGATGTTTAATCACGTGCGTGAAGGAAAGAAATATCGCGTAGCCTTTCAATTAGTTTATTATATGTTAAAAGGCGCTAAATATCTATTCTTTGGCACCGAGAAGTAGACACAAATGAGTCGCAACGTATATAATAATGTAATATAAATGTATTTAAACTGTAATTTCTAATCATGTTACGCGAAATACGCGAAGATTCCAAAATTGAATGGCAGTCTTTAGCGTCTGGTTATTCCAGTCTACACCGGTAGTTTTCTCTTTTGGGAAATGTTTAACCTTGTTCATCGGGTCGCTTCATTTCAAATGGTGCTATAAAGCATTGTGTCACGCGATTCGTGTGCCAATTGTAAAATTTTCAGTTTGTATTAAATGTTGCATATCAGAAGCCCATCTTTTCACGGTAACAAACTCAATGTTGATTTAAATTGACCAGTAAGTCGTATTTACATGTCGAAGACTGTGGATAATACTGAGTTAGAGACTTGCCTCCTTTAAAGATACATTATGGGAGATTCGATAATGAGTTGGCAGTTCCCACTATAATAGTTAAAAACTAGATAATGTAAAGGCAATTTGCTAAAAATGTCATTCAAATTGATCCACTATGAACCGAGAACTAAGTGGTTGAAATTTCCAGCTTGCCTTGATCATCATTACTAAAGTCAGTACGATAAACAGCATAGTCTCGATTATCCATTTAATCGTTAAATCGTGAAGGAAAGTTATGCAGTAAATCGGCTCATAATCCACTAAAGATCGCGGGCTAGCAATGCCATCTAGAGTTGATTATGGTCTGGATAGGTTAATTAATCTCTAATAATTTAGATAACATTTCAGGCCCAAAGAAAGACCTAAAATAGACAGATTTAGCAGTAAAATTTGGGCCAGTTTAGTTGGAAAGTAGGGGAGTTGTAACTTGCGCAAAGGAAGTCCTTAGAAAGATCCACTCCTGTGGCTGGGGACATGACGGAAGACATAAGTAGTGGAACCATTTCTAAACCTTTCTCAGCTTTCCATGAGCCATGGTGACTCGGTTAATTTGACAGTGGTTCACTAATATCCTGAATAAGTTCGTCAGGACTTTCAAACCATGTTTTCCTTTGTCAGCACTGCAGAACGGAACGGGAGCCCTGGCAAGGAAAAGGAGTCTGGTATTTCGGATGAGAACGAAAATCCCTTGACAGTCGGAGCTCGAGGAAGAGCAGGCCAAAGAACCACTGGAACATGGCCATTGCATGGTGTACACCGTCTTTATGAATCCGTTTGATGTATTAAAAATAGACCTGCGATTCAGCTACGTCGGGTTTCCCTGGTAGTCTTTAACCTTGAAATGGCATCTCTTGCCTTACCAAGAAACCTTTCAACGTGTATACGGAAATGTATTACTTCTAACCGCTTACTGATATATATGATATTCTTTTTTTTTTGACAGTTCTTTTATCAAAACTAATATGGAACGATATTTAATAGGCTTGTTCGGCCAATAAATTTTCCAAAACCTTATTGAAATTGTAACCCTTCCAGAACATCTGAGACAGCAAACTGGAATTCAATCCTCGTTAATACCGTTCATGGCTTAATCACTTGAATAATGACTCCTTTCCCCCAGAGATCATAGTAATATATGCTACACCAGAGAAAGTCGATAAGTCATGCTTTGACAATACATTGCTTTTATTTGACACTTGATTATTTTCGTCCATTGATTATTTTCGTTCATCAACTTCTGTTCGATATTAATTAATGACGGCTTGTTGTATGCAACAGTTTACATCCTTTACATTATTACCGATTTTTATACGCCCACATTTTCATGTGAACGTATGTTATCGTCGCCCCTGTCCGTCTGGACGTCCGTCCGTCCACAATTTGTTTGTGGACACTCTACAAGTCACAATTTTTGTCCGATTTTGACGAAACTTGAAATATAGGCCCCTGGTTGTAAGAAAAATCATGTTTTTAGCTTGTGAACACTCTGGAGGTCACAATTTTCACCCGATTTTGATGAAACTTTAAATGCATGTTTAGAACCCAAAGATCTTGGTTCCTTTCAATATTTACGCATACCGGATCGTAACTTCCTGAATTATGGCCCTTGATTGTACGAAAAACTGTGTTTTTAGCTTGTGGTCCCTCTAGAGATCACAATTATTATCCGATGTTAAAAAAAAAAAAACGTTGGGAAGATATCACTGTTACGCCGTAATGACGCTTGGGTTCGAATTTCATGAAAATCGGACCAAAACTGACGGTCAAAATGGCCGCTCCTCGTACATAATTAGTGTAAAAATATGGTATATCAAGGTTATGGCCCCTCTAGAGGCCACAATTTTTGATCTAATTTTGATGAAACTTGAAATACATGTTTATAACCCAAAGATCTTGGTTCCTGTCGATATTCGCGCATATCGGATCACAATTTTTATCCGATTTAAAAAAAAAACGTTTGAATATATCACCGTTACACGATAATGATAGTTGAGTTCGAATTTCCTGAAAATCGGACCAAACCTGTCGGACAAAATGGTCTCTTCTCGTATGCAATAGTGTAAATATATGGTATATCAAGGTTGTGGACCCTCTATAGGACATGTATATAACCCAGAGATCTTGGTTTCTTTTCATATTCACGTATATGGGATCGTAAATTCCTGAATTATGGCCCTTGATTGTACGAAAAATCACGTTATTAGCTGGTCTTATATTTTAGTTGGCTTTATTTCTGACGTTTTATCCCTTTAAATCAGTTATCATGCCTTGCGTGTTGTAACTATCTACATCAGATAGAATTAATTTTTCAAAAACTGTAATGAAAACACATCAACAGGCTTGCAGCATAGTGAACCGAGAAAATCAATAGATAACAAACGCTGATTTAAGTGTGTACAACCGATCAACCTTAATATGAGGTATAATATTATGCTAGTCTTCTAAATTACTATCTAAATACAAATCAGGGGGTTTAACGTTTTATTGTTCTACACTATAACGGACATTATACGTCACGTAGTGTGTTGTGAGGAAAGTTTTGCACGGATAGTGGCGTTTCTGACCGAGCTTCATATAATTCAAACTGCCAAGAGTCCCTTTACATACACGCTGCCAACGTGTACACAAGACCTCGTTTTTTCACCGCACTCCGTGCCATACCCTCTGCCCTACATCACTGAAGCCAGCCACTTTTCTGCCCCGACTGGGCTAATGAAGACATGCATACGCCATACAGTGTGCTATGAGGGAAATTTGCCCGAGCAACTGCAAAGGGATCTTTTATGTATACACGGGACCTCGGTTTCTGAATGACTAGACAGCTGTCCTTGTGCGGCCCTCCGTCCTGCACCACTGACAAGAGAAAACCACGTTTGAAAGTCCCGAAGAACTTTCTCGGCCAATGCAGGGATCGAACACGCGACCTCCAGGCTAGCGAACCAGCGTCTTACCCACTTAGCCATCGTGGCTCCTATTGAAATCAAGTCATACCATATGTTAGTTCGAAACTGGAATACTTTGTGTTTTTCTCGACCTTACCTCTTTATAAACAGACGCGTGGTTTAAAATAAGATTCAATAATCCAAACCACCAATTAATTAAAGACTCCTTCTTAATTCAAATTACTTCGTTCTCCTTTAAAATCCGTTCAAATTCAAATTGGAGTTTCTACCCCCTTTATTTATACCCTCAGTTTGCTGCTTTAATAATCAATCATACAGGTAGCTGCAACATTATCGATCTCAGACACTGAATTACTAAACCAATTAAATATAGATGTACTAGGAGAGCTTTATTCTTACAACTATAGAAATCGATCACCAATAAAACATAAATATTTTTTTACAGCATGGAAAGGATTAGGAATGCAATAGAGTGGTCTCAACGTCTTGTTCGGATTTTTTTCTGTTGTTACGTGTGCACTGAGTTCCGCCTACCATTCTACGAATTCCAAAAATCCCGGCCAACGCGGTGATTCGTACAGTAAACCCGGAACGGTGGAATTTTAAAGTAGATGCTAGGGCCTACATCCATTGCCATACTCTCACAATGACGATAGTTGCTGGGATCAACTTTTTAAACAATTCGCGGTAACCCCGTACACTGAGTTCCGCCTACCATTCTACGAATTCCAAAAATCCCGGCCAACGCGGTGATTCGTACAGTAAACCCGGAACGGTGGAATTTTAAAGTAGATGCTAGGGCCTACATCCATTGCCATACTCTCACAATGACGATAGTTG